ACGAAACGGTCACGTCGCTCATTAAAGAAAAAAAAAAAAAAATATATATATATAAAAACCCATTTGCAAGTCCCTGGTGTCCCCCGAGGCCGAGGAGCCGCGCGGGCCGCGGCCGCGCTGGGTGCCCGCTGCAGGCCAGCCAGCCCTGCCCAGGGAGCGCCGCCTTCTCCCTTCAGAGACCCAAGAAATAATTAGAAGTCAATCGCGCTTTGGCAATTAACCTTTGGTTAATGACACCAAGGCATGTCAACAGCTGCGGGCACGAGATAGGATTTTCCTTTTTTTTTTGCCCTCACTGAGCGGGACGCCGGTGCCTTACAAAAAGAAACGCTCGCGTTCATCCCCGGAGACATTTCACAGCCACGTGCCCTTACTCACAGCGCGCGACACCGCCGCGCAAACAGCCACCCGTAACACCCCGACTGTGACTACGGACAAAGAACACCTTACCGCTTTCTGAAATATTTTTACCTTTCAGCCCCATCTTCTGCTTCGCCCTGGCCTCTTGTCGCAGAGAAGGCTCTTAAAATCATTGTGCTTCTGACAGGAGGTCTCCCACCTCCACTTCGAGATCTTTGGATGAAAGGTGCCGTGTATTTTAAGTGCAAAATACTACGTATGAATTCAAGCTCCGTACAGCACATCACGGATCCAACAAAGCCATCGTGTTTCGTCTCCCCACCTCTATCACTTTACAGCTGTGGGAATCAACCAGGAATGACAGGGAAGATACCAGACCTGGAACAAAGTCCAACCACTTTAATATATTTCAAATATATTCTACAGACTATTTAATATATAAAAAGCAACATTAAAGGAATTTTGCTTTTTATACACCCTTGTATTATGTCCTCAAAACTGGGAAATACCAGAATTAAGACCGCCTGTCCTACTGCCAGCCGCGTTACCAATCCAGAATAACCAAACCCAACTTTTTTGCCCTCGCAGACTCTCGCACTGAACGTGTTTCACAACAACCCCCTCTCAATGCCTTTTTTACTGGCGCTCATCCCGCCCCGAGCGGCTGACAAACTCTGCTCCACTTCCCCAGGCGCTCCTACAAAGTTGCCCAACGGGGAACAAATGTTAACATGAAAATGCTGTTTTAAGGAGTCACTATGTTGGTATTTTTAATTTTTATTTTTTAACACACCACCATTTCATAGCAGCAATATTGCCGTAGTTGCGATGGTCTGATCACATAGGGGACGCGTACGTCTCATCTGCAGAAGCACCAAGTTCCAAAACCTAAGACAACCCCCCCGTCCAGTGTGGATCACCCGAAAAGCCGCTCTTTCTGCAGCTCCCAGCTTCGTTTGCTGCCGGAGCTCCCGCCGCCGTGAGGGATGGGACAGGGGCACCATGGTGACATACGCTGGTACCTACGGTCCCCGTTCCCCGCCCTCGGTACCAGCTGCCGACGGGACACCCTCAGCGCACGGGCAGAGCACCAGTACGCCACTGCACCGGGATGCCCAGGCACGTGGAGACTTGAAGTCTAAGCTTCAAAGGCAATTTTAATTCTGTCATTTCTCAGCTTTTGAGCACTTTGCTTCCTAGGTTTAAGCCAAGGCCAGCTGTGGCATCCTGCGCTACTTGTAGCGAATTTTAGGAACGGGGGCAAAACCAGAGACTTGTTCATTTTTAACAGACGCGTACCTCCACGTCAGAGAGGTGAGCGCTGCTTCTGCTGCGCTAAGTCCCCACACCGGGGAGGGAGGGCAGAAGCCTGCACCTCCCGTGCCTGCACTGCTTGGAGACGTCCTTTGTAAGGAGAGTTCGTTCCACATGTGGTACACACCCGCGGCACCCCGCCACAGAAACTGGCTCCGGAGGTTAATGGTGCTCAACTGGACTAACGCTCTGTTCTCTGCTGCTGACGAGTATATCCCATCCTCAACCTGCCTTTAAACGCCTGGTTTCGTAAAGAGGATCAAGAAAAAACAGGACACTGCTACACAGATCTTTTTCTTTGCGATACTAATCTCTACAGTGAAACATTCATAACTGTTCGACGGAGTAAAAATATGCTACATCAAAACTGTACCAGAAAAAGCAGGACCCCTGTAACAGCTGGAGAAGAGTTTGCAGATAAAAATCAGAATTAAACAGCCAGCTTAAAAATATGCCACTGAAAACATAGGAGAAAATAAACACGGTTATCCTTTCTTTACAGTTTGGCAGACATTGAAATCGGTGCAATTCACAGACTCTCATCTTCTTGTTTGACGTTGCTGTTGGCATCTGAGCGTGTTGTCTCACCAAGGAGCAGAACAGGCACGGCCCGCAGCCAGACAAGCACAGGGGTACGTCCCTTTGACGGCAGGGAGAGCTGGGAGTGTGCTCAAGTGCTCAGCTGAAGCAGGTCCTTGACTCATCTGAATTAAGCATTGCTTATTACACTTGAACAGGAAACACGCCGCCTTCCATCCACATTCCCATTCCAAACCACTGTAGGAGCAGGGACATCTGCTTGGTATCAGTATGAGAAGGCTAGCACACTTAATACCGAGAACTACGCTGCTCGTATGGCCGAGTGAATTGCAGGTCCATATAAAATACAGAAAGCTAAGACATCTGTCTGCTCTCCTGGGAAGAATATAGTGTTTGGACGGCAGACAAACTACCAATGAAGACAAGTTCCAAACTAATAGCGTCTCCCAGGGAATTAATTTACAAAGTGCCACTGGTCCTTGGAACCAAATACAGTGTACAGTATATTACAGCAAACACCAGCTCTACAGCTTGTGTCGGCCCATCTCTGCACTCTATGCAGAAGGAATCAAACGTTCAGACTCTTTACAATAAACTACTTCCCTTTTTATACAAAGGAAAATAAAAACATAAGTTAAAACAGCAATAAATAAAACTACAGAACGTGTGTGTCCTGGTCAGCCCCCTTTGTGCATTCCAATCAGACTGGAGAGCTTCTCACAGTGCTCAAGTTTCAGTGATTCTGCTTTCTGTTTTAACCGCTCATCTCTGTATAGCTTGGCCAAATTTGACAAATCAGACTCTGAAAGATGAAAAAAATATATATTAGGATGAAGTCGTGAGCCTACTTTACATAACTGTTTGTCAGTGCTTTGTTATCCTTGTGGCATGGTTTTTTTAAATTCACCTTGTTTCAGTGAAACTGGGCATGTTAACGACTTTCTTTAAAGAGAGGCCATCAGGTTTCACCGGGCTAGCTACTTAAGAAAACAGTATTTTCATAATTGCTTGAAAACTCAAACAGTTATAATAACCCTCTCTACCAGTGCACCAGTAGGACAATAACCAAAACAAAAGACTGATTATTACTGTCTACAAAGAAAACACAAACTATAAAAATATAGCTGAGAAGTCATGTAAGATTTAAAATTATGTTAATGATCTAAAGAACAGGTGATTGCTTTAAAATATACGTATATATTTAAACTAACTGCGCATAAAAAGGGGCTAGTAGGATACCATTTGACCTGCTCCACAGCACCTGCCTTCGGAGATAGCGCTATTTACATTTGAATTAGATGTCATCTCACCGTGCACTGATCCTCACTGACTGTCACCAGGCACAGGCGGAGGGGTTTACTCCTCACCTGTCAGCGGTACTGAAGTGACACGCCAGAGGGAGAGAGAGCCTCCCTCCTGACTACTTTTCCTGTCGCTGCCTTGGGGCTGTGCCAGGTGTCTGCAGCCTCCTAAGCGAAGCAGGAACTACAAGACGTCCACCCCTGCCCACGTCACGGAGGAAGGCAATTCTTTTGGCAGATCCACTCCGCGAGGGCCCAGAGCACCCATCCAAATACATACTTGAAGGTACAGATAATTGGGTTTTGATGTTGCGCTTCTCAGAATTCAAACTCTGTCTGGCAAGAGGTTTGCCCAGAAGGCATTATAATTTTTTTTTTTTTTTTGGTATTGATTACAGGAAGGTGAGGGACTTGTCTGAAAGGCCTCTGTGCCCGTTCATTAACAATACAATCTTGAATGTACTTTGCATATTTTTTCCCCTTCTTCTCAAAACAGAAATAATCCCGTTGTTTAAATTATTTCCCCCCTGGTAAGTCAAAGAAGTTTCTTTTGCTGATTAGCTAATGAAGTTTTAATATAGCTTTCTCCCTGAAGAATAACTTCAGGATTACATGCACCTCAGAGAATAGCAGTAATTTGTTTCTGAAAAGGTCAAAATTTCCCTAAGCACAGGCTACCTGATGATACTCAATTTTTCAAAGAGCTTTTATATATCTGACAAGTCTCTCATTTTAGAAAACCATTCAGAGTGGAAAGAACTTCAACAGGTCCTTTCATGCCTTACGTCCTCTGTCCCTGTCCCACTGAAATTGAAAGCCATTTAACCCTCCACCTATTATTGAAAAGCTTTACAAATTGACAGGCATAAACATTTTATTTTAGATCAAAAATCAATTTTCAGGTTTTATAACTAAAATGCCACTCAAGCAGTGCCGGGCACATAGCCTTGACAAGCCTTCAGCAAAACTAGACTTGGGTAATTGTCTCCGAGTCCAGAGTCCCTGGAGTTCTGCAGTGAAGAATCTTAGTTTACACTTATCCAACTGGGCAAGAATATTCACTGCAAATTCTTGCACTTTTGACAGCATTCATTCTGTCAGGTTGGTTTATTTATGTTTTTCAATCTTTTAGAGTTGTTCCTTTGTACTTTTTCTCTTCAAGGAACTCCTAAAATACCTAATTCCGACTACATATCCTTCTTCTCCCTGTTTTCAGTTGCCTCTCTGTAATTTTCTCTGACTTGGAGCTCTTTGCAGTCTTACGTTACCGTCGTGCTATCACAGCTGAAGAGTCTCCTGTAAAAACCTGGGACGTGCCTCTTGTACTGTATTAAAGATTTCAGAAGACCAAGAACCACAGCATACGCAACTTTTACACAGTATTCTGCTGTGAACGGAGGAACACAGTCTACTGCAGCAATATAAAAGTGACCGGCTGAACAAGATACCGATGTAGCAGTTACTTTTGACGTTTTCATTAAGATAGTTGGACACCAGGTAACAATTTTTAAGTCATAAAATCAAGGACTTTAAAAATCAACCTCTTCCTCTATAACTATGGACATTTTGCTGATGCTAAAGAGAAATGCACCCTCAATTATAAACCAAACGTACTATTAATAGACATTCAACTGACAAAAGAAAAGTTCACCAAATGAAGTTAAACACTTAAACAAGAATTAATGGACCAAAGTTATGAAGCAACAGCTGACTAAGACCTGTCTCAGCATCTCCAGAGAACTTTTCCCCAGCACTCCATCTTGTATTCAGTTTATTTTTACAAACTTGGCTGTACTAAAGTTAGCACAGTCTCAGCTGTGCTCATTACCTGCTCGCTGGCCTAGATGGTAATCATTCCGAAAATGTTTTTTTTTTAATTACAGTGGTCTCTTCAGGCTACTAATTGTGGACCTTGTAAATACATTTGCAGATGTGTGACTAATAAAGTCTCTTAAGTGCAAAAAGCTCCAGAGGAGCACTGTTTTGCAGGCATTGCTTGACATTCAATGCTGGATCATCCCTCCGTCTCTGACTATCAGTCTCTCAGACTTGCAAACCCTGTTGCCCATTTTGGGGCATGGCACTCCTTAGCTCAAGGTCTACATGAAAGAGACAATATGGCGACTTTCAGTTGCACAAGGTCAATTAAAAGGATTTTTCAGTAAGAAATAAATTCTATCCCTATAGCAAGCCTACACATGAAGCCTACTTTTATGGTTATTAACAGCCACATTATACCTAGAGGCTGCTACTCCCAGCCTCAGAGATCACAAGTCAAGCACACCAAAAACTAAGGGATTGTTTGGGATTTTTATGGTCTTATATTATGGGTTCTTTTCTTTTTTAACTTCAGAACCTACATCTGTGTATTTCTCTTTAAAAGCAAGATTGGTAACTTTTATATAAAATAAACCAAAACAGCCTCTGGATGAAAACAAAACAACCCTTCCCATCAAAAACCTGTAAATAGTTTGGAGTCAGCAATGCTATTGTTACCTCTAGCACAGGATTAAACAAGTCTCCTTTAGACAAAGTGTATGCTACCATAATGATGCAATTGGTAAAGAAACTGTAAACAAGTGCAAAGTCACTTTTTAGTAGTGTGCTGAGGACTATTTTACACGGAGCAATTTAGAAAGCCCTACTAGCGTGCGAAGGCAGCTTGCCTGCTGCTATTAAACATTTACACAGAAACAACTTCTTCCAGTTTCCTTTATGCACAGCAGTAGTTTGTGTTTACTCATTTTAAGGCGATGAGTTCTTCAGCTGAAAAAAATCAGTCACAACATCCCAACTTCAGCTAGTCCTTGTAACTTGATTTCTGTTATTTTGTACAGTTACAAAAGCAGCAGGGATTTGCTCTATTTTAAATTAACCAGAAGAGTAGTAATTAACAAATAATACAATACGGGGTTAAAATACATGCTTTTATATGTGCCAATGATCGAATTAGGACTGATGCGAGAAACATGACTTTGAATGCTCGCAATTTTGTGTCCTCCCTTTCTGCATTCAATTCTTGTTTTTAAAAGACAATCTTGACTATGGTGAAAAACACGATCTCAAACTCATCTAAAGATAGAAAATGCAAATAAGCGCACAAAACAAGTACAGAAGCACGCTCTTTGAAAACTGATACCAGTAACACAGTCCACTGCAAGATTACGAAAAGCACCTGAATAGGCTATGGGCTCTCCTTCTGATGAAGTTTTGAAGAAAAAGTTAGGTAACCTTCTCGTGGAGCCAGCTGAAGCAAAAATGATTCTACTCCAGCAAAGGAAAGGTGAAATGGGTGACATCTCAAGATCTTCTCTAGCCCTAGCAATTTGTCAGACCTACATAAATATGGTGGATTACACGTTTAAAACATCATCGCTGAGAGTTATTCAAGCATAAAAACTGCATGGAAAAAATGTCTCACATGGTGACATCTACTTTCCACTTGTCTCTCAGAATTGCCTAAAATGAATTTCGACAAGAGTCTCAAGAATAGCAAATTCAGTGTTAAGAGCAGATGTGAGAAATACCAGGGCAAGGTTTGAGATGTTAAATGCATCGGAAAATGAGGCTAAAAATGGCAGTGCTTTGTGATGCATAGCCATCGTACAATTACTGATGGGTTGTAGGCACACACTTGTAACAAAAATAACTTACTTTGCTGTTTCTCCTTCCAGCAGCTGGTCTGAATATAGTCTATGTAATCTTTTTCAACCGTTTTCTCTAGCTCTTGAAGTTCTGCTCCTTGATAATTCTTTTCAAAGTTTTTATCGACATAGTAAGGCACCTGCAAGTTCTCTGTTTCTCTGCTAATAACGTGGCCTATGGACCTGTGAAACACCATGGAGAAAACAGATTTTTTTAGCAGTTCAAATATCAAGAAATCAAAAGACATTTCTCCATATTAGCCTTTCCAGAGGACAGTATTTACAACTTCTTTAGAATTACTTTCTGCAGGACTATAGCTCCCTCAACCATCCAATAAGGAAATTACAAGTCTCAGGCACAGCAAGCTGTGCACTACAAACAGAATTCATCCCCCCTGCTAGAAACCACAGGCAAATATCTAATATTTGGAGATATCGACAAAGAACTGACTCCGAGCTGACACTGTTCTTTCCAAATACTGCATTTGTTTTCAACAGTTCAGTCAAGACACTTCCAAAACATCAGAGCAAATTTTATCTGTGAACAGAAGCTCCACACACTTTCTTCTGTTTGCTGGTAATTTCTGGCAAGCTGGGTCCAGAAAGCATGGGAATTGATAAAAAAGGTAGAGATTATAGGAAAGGCATACGGCCCTAGTACTGCTTAGGGCACAATGCAATTGGAACTGGATTTTCCTGATTTCCGCATCCTTTAGTAGAAATAAGAATTTGCAGGGGAGATTCTAGTTACACTTTCCTTCAGGGTTTTATAATCATGGGTAAGCAAAGTGGGGCATGGAATATCCCGAAGAAGATCCTGTAGGTAGGATTAGCCACTCTGACACAACCACTGGATTAAACTATACTCTTATACTGAATTTCCTTATTTGAGCAAAGATACCCAGGCATATTTTCAAATCACTGCCCAAAGAGGCAGGCCGCCAAAACACAAAGGTTACACTCTACTCAATGGAATCCAGTTTGCCCCTTCTGTTTCCTGGACTCCTCTTTTCCTTCTCTCTCGCTGTGTCTCAGAGGTGTGTGCTCTCTTTATATAAACAATTTCTTTTAGCTTTTAGGCTGTTACTTTTTTAAGGACATGATTTAGAGAAACAGCATAACTGTGTACCAGCCTCAGGCCTGACTATCTCAAATCAACAGAAGGGGAGGTAGTGAAGAAAAGCAGGAGAGATTAGCTGCTCTGCAGGCAGCGTGGGAGGTTTCACATGGGACTGGCAGATAGCAAAAACACTCTGGAAAAAAACCACCCAAAAAACAACCACCCTCTTGCTTTTACGCTAGGTCTACACACTGACATCTTGTGGTAAAAAACGATAAAGGCTGTCGGGCTGCTCTGACAGCAGAGGGGATATGTACCTAAACTTAAGTAGTTTTGCTCCTAGAAGGGAGGAAGGGGAGTGTTTGGAGCACTCTGCTACTGCTGTGTGCAGCAGGTTCTCCAAAACCTCCTGACTCCCACTCCTGTCTCTGTGAGAGCCAGCGAAGGTGGCTGAACTGGTCGGCTTTCCTACTAGAGAGCTTCCCTCCTCCCAACACTGGATGCCGAGAGGAGCAAGCGGGTTTTCCTCTGCCCCACAAACTCAGACTACGGCAGGCCTGGTGGTGCTCCTTCTGCTTCCAGAGCTGACCAGTTCAGTTTGCCCTCTGCAACCCAGGGGTCCTGCTTCTTTACAGATGTTAAACCAGGGCATTTCAAGGCTTTAATGATTGTGAAGCCTGACAATTCTTCCAGTAGAATTCAGGCTCCAGAGCAGATTTGGATTTATGCTGCAAACCGCAGGCTTCATTTTGCAATTGCTTTACATAGGAACCTCGGTGGTGGTCCACAGATCCCTTGCGGGCTGGGCAGGCCAGAGGCTGATCAGCACTGTAGCTGGGCTACACCCACATTCCTGCCACTGTATCACTGTGCAAAAACATTTCACACCAGTTGAGAAAGGTTTCTGGCTCAGTGCCTCTATTTGTTCAGCACACAGTACAATAAAGCCCACCATAGTTAACTTCATAGCGATAATGCTTAGGAGAACTCATCAATAGAGACTGTTGGTATTTCCTTATTTACAAATTGATAACACTTTCTAGAAAGAGCAGAACAGAGCACTAACATGCATTTTGCTATCAAGTCCAACTTCCGTCTACCACCTTATTGCAAACACCAAAGACCCGAAAAATGTGCTTTTAAATGACTTACGATTTGTAGAATAGGCTGTAGGGTGGGTTTGTGGCCATCAGTTGAGTTATAACTGACACTATTATTATTATGAAAACTGGCATCAACTGAATAAATGCAGAATATGAATTCTGAAAAGAACAACAATAATTAGTAGTCAAGAAAAGATACAGACAGAAAAGGATGCATCTGTTCACAGAAACCATCTATCATAGATCAACAATGTATTAAATGTACACTGAAAAGAAAAAAAAGGAAGTACTTCTGAATTTTGAGAGGGATGACATTTTAACTTCAAAATAACCTTTATTAATAATCTCAGAGAACTCTTTAAAGCCATTTTTTTTCAATTGTATTTTATTTCTTTCATCTACAGCTTTCTTCACAAGGCGATAGATGCCCACAGCACTGTACCTGTCAGTGACCAGCTGACAATCCAAACTGAAGGAACACATTGCAATTCCCATTTGTGCCTATGGCTTTCCGTGCATCTTCTGATGTTTGCTACATGCATTCTAAAAATCTCATTCTCTGTTCAAACACTGGATAAAATGGCTGAAAAGTAAAGGGTTAAGAGACCTTATATAGCGTAACTTGGGACAGGATGCAAGCACTTGTTTTTTTTGTTTGAATGAATTTAGTAGAACAAAGGAGTGGGGAAAAAAACATCAAAAGACCAAAGAGTTCTGATAGCCATAGAGAAAAGACAGATCTTTACTTCTGCTCTTCATCTCATTTTTAAACTGCCCCTCTAAAACGCCTTTTCTAATCAGGAGCAAAATATAATATGCAGCTATTTAGATTTTGCTCTCTGCCCTGGGATAGCAGCAAGAATACCTGACACAGTAGTAGGTGGGATTCATTTCCCCTAGCACAGCTGTCTATAGGCTGTATCAGGTTTTTTTCACAGCCCGACTAGAAGAGAGTCAGAGGGAAAAATTCATCTTCCTTGGAGAACGATCTCGTTAGGTTAACAGACTGCTTTCGGAGGAATTTTCTTCCAAGGCAGGTGGCATGTGTGTATGTGTGCTTGTGTCTCATCTGGAGGTTTCCGTTCGTAGAAAAGCATCCCAGACCCATCCTGTCCCGGGGCTGGAAGAAGCCTGTGCAGCACCTGGGCAGAAGTTTTGTGCTAATTTACGGGAGGATTAAACACGCCATGAGGCAAGCCAGTACTGCCGTATCCGTTATCAATCTACGTTTGGACTAATTGCTGTTGGATTACCAAACCATTAGAGCTTGCAAAAATCAAGCACCAGCAAAACACTTGGTGACAGGAACTCCAGGGCCTGTAATCCTATCAATACAATGTATTTTTAAAGTAGTGATTAATAACAGACAACCTAGTTTCTTTTGAAAACATCCATTTTGGCTGCAGCACTTGAGGATAAACACTGAGCATTTAAGGATGGGAAAGTCTGTCCTGGCTTCAGATGTGTCAGTGGACCCCTCGCCCCGGTGAAATATTTAAGCCCAAGGGATGCCTCCTCCTGGCTACCTGTGGCCTGTTTTCTTCCTCCTCTTGCTCCTGCGTCCATGCTCTTTCATTTCGGTGCCTCCGTGGATAATAGTGCGCATCTCTGGCTACATTTGAGAACATATGGATATTTCCTGTTAAAAGAAACCAAGAGAGCATCATGATTTTCATCCAGTTGCTGGTGCTTACCTGTATTTCTCAGAGTTTCTAGTTGATCATCCAGGCTTATACTACACAGCCTGAAATACAGTTGTGAGACCTCAGATTAAAAAGCGCCAACACACCTCAGATTTAAATGTCATAATAATATGTCATTCCAAAAAGCGTACCAGAGAAACTGTAAAGTTTGCCCCAAGTCCATCTTAATTTAAATCAAACTGCAGAAACATGCTATAATTTTTATTATTGTATCTCATATTTTAATATTGTTTTTGTCACATTCACTTGCAAAGCCATAGCTTGCGTTGTGTCCCCAGGCTCTAAGCAAGAAAATTAATTTGCTTCACCAGACTCAGGCCATGAATTATGGCTTCCCCTAATTACTGAATATGGTCTTCTGCACTCATTTCTACTTCCTCTTCCTTCAAGCTATTAATAGTTTCACTTAATGATTTTGTAATAAGGAAAGAGATTTAAAAAATGAGTAAAAAAAAAAAAGTACAATTCAGGATTTCCTTTCTTGCACACTGAATATAGTTCATTTATTTTTAAAAATTCTAAAATGAGGAAAGAATTGCATATGCTGTTTCGATTTGAAGCTTCAACTCCGATTTTATGACCATATGAATATCTTAATAATAGCTGTGTTCTCCTCTTTTGAAATTCAGAATTTCTTTGTATTAGAGAATTTAAATTTATGGCCTTATCATGACAACAGAAATGCAGATCTATTTTTAAGCCCTGGGAAAGATGTCACATTATTTTACACTGTCCTTTCTCTAAATTTCCCAAAGAATTCTGCAAGAAACCTGGGTGGAAAAGACCTTTGCTATTGTGTCAAAACATCTGTTTCCTTGCTTGTTCAAAGATTTTTCCAAGGGTCTAGGCACGTTTGCAGTCAGGGCTCCACCAGAGAGTCAAACAAGGCTGGCTTGAAGAACAAAAGTTTCTTTCTTGAAAAAGCAAGTTTGTTTCTATCATTCAACACTGCTCAGACAATATTTTATCAAGCTGTGAAAAAACAGAAGCAAGTGTGGGAAGAGAAGAATGGCTTTTGCAGGGTGCCTAGAAAAAAGTTGTCCCAAATCCTAAGTTTCTCAAAGAATTGCTGTCAGCAGTTTCTTTCCTTCCATGTGCATTTATTTTTTATGAGAAGGAAGTTCAATTTGTAGCCTCTACCCATTATAACTGCAACACTCTGCCACATGGAGAGTCTCCTTTTAGACTGAGGACATTCAACATTTTAACTTTTAATATTTTTCCACTTAATATCCACAGAGGAAAAATGCATGGCAAAAAACAAAGCCATAAACCTGCCCACAAAAGCTATACAAATGAGTTTACCCTAACACCAACATTTCTTATTCAGATTTCCAGAAAGCCTGGTGATAGCAAGGCGTCACAAAACAAAAACCAGCACAACATTGCAGCTTAGCACAAACTTCAGCTCACGCACGCAAGTCCCACTTAACATTATGACAGTTAAAAAAATGGTCTCTTTATATCAACTATCTGGACACCCTCTTACTAGTTAATTCTCTTGCTACGTAGAAACTGTGTGGACTTTGCTTATTTGGAAAACTGCTGAACTGACGATTTTCCATAATTTAAAACTCACTCTTAAATTACAAAAATGTAAATAAATCTAGACCCAAACATGTTTTTGGTGAGGAAACTACTGTTTACTACCAACACCTATTACTATGGAATTATCTTTTTATTTTCTTATTCTTTGCCACTCTGATAAAAATTCCCATTTACTTCTTCACGCCACTCTACCTGTTAAACTTGCCATGCCCACTACCCAAATTCCTCCTGCAGCTCCTCCATTTCTTGTCCTCGAGTCGAAGCATCCCTGTCGCCCGCAGCTACATTGAAGTCACGTAACACGAGGGCCATGTTTCACTGGTAGCCGAGGCAAAAGGCACACACAGGTGCAATTTGTTGCAAAGTCAGAAACAGAAAACTTGCAAGCTCAGTGTAGAATTATGCCACGCTGAGTTTGTCTCACTTTGCACATCTACCCATCAAATTTTGAAAACAATTTGAGGTCCCCTGAGCTGCAACATGCTACCACACAGCCTAAGGTTACAAGGAGCTTGTCAGCAATTACCTGTCTCTGTGGCTTTAGGCTGTAGTAATTGGCATGTATGTTGCTTTATACCACGCCTTGGAGGTCAGAAAGTTTACAAGAGTGCTAAAGCAATTCGTTAGCTACTGCCAGGAAGACCCTTGAGCTCACCATACCTTTCAAATTTACTTTTAACCCAAACCTGTATTCCACTGATCTTGCAGTATCTTTTTATTTTTACTACAAATACAAAAGCCAAGGCTGGACCGAGACACGCATGGAGCTGCTACAGGTACGGATCTACTGTTCTGTTACTGGATACTGTATATCGGGTAACAGCCAGCCTTTCCTGGCAGGCACCACTTTCTAAGCTAAGTTTTCATTTCTTTATAGTATGCAAACTGCTGCGAGCCAAATGAACTCCTATGTCTTCCTAGTTATAGGGGCACTGAGACAACAATGCCAGGAGCTGCTGCCATGCTGTACTGGAATGCAGTAAGGTGTCTCAAGGACATCACCATCAGCAAAGATATCTCTGATCCCTTCCCAGTCACACCTCATTTTACCTTCCATACCACCACTGGCTTCAAACAACAGAGGGAATAAAAGCAACAACAAAAAGAAGGGTCTTCAGCTACAGCTGCTATTAAAATGCTGCTTACCCAAGAACCAAACAGCCTAACCCCTTGCCAGACTAAAATGTTCTTACCCCTAACTAGTACTGTCAGAAATTTTCAAGAGAGGCTGGGAGGGTCAGAACTTGCCCCAGCAGCAACAGCCGTTACCCCCCCGGCAGCGGGCCCC